GCATTTACATTGTGTTTGCTGAAGTTAAACAGGGGCTGGTCCAACTGCTTGTAATGGCAGTCACATACAATTTACATGGAGTCTTGACTTGATATTGCACAAACCATTTTTCAGTTTCACAATACATGTTGTCACATTTTTGAATCGCAATATATTGTAATGTTACACCTCTATAATGACTGGGTCTTCTGAAAAACAATAAAGCATATATTGTGTTTTGTGACACAATAAAAGCCTTGTCACGTTTCACCAGCTGTGTGTGAATGTGAAGCAGCGGCAACTGGAAGTGAACACGTTGACCATAGCATACATACGGATGCAAAGCATGGAAAAGAAGAAGACGACACAAAGCTTGAATAGCCCAGTAGGACAGGTGACAAAGCTGGAGCGAGTATGTGACTAATACTAAAATCAACACTCAAAATTATAAAACTCCTGAGAGGTTGGCCTCTGTTTATTGAGCTGTGGAGTGATTTCAATGTAATTATTCACTATTTTATATTTAGTTACCATATGTCTTTTCAGCATATAAAAACATCTTTGTCCAATGACTTACTCGTTACCCAGCCCTCCAGCATACAATACTTTACCATGCAGCAGCTGAGTAACATGCCTTATTGAGCTTGAGCTCACTGATGAACCTGGTTCATGCAGCGTGTCTTTTAATTGGGATACTGGCACAGCATTGAGCTGTGGTGTGCTGACCAGTACAACATCTGACTTATTTTGATACCTCAAATATCAAAAACTTGCATTACAGTACCCATGGCGACCTTTGATGACATTCTGGAGGAGGTTGGGACTTTTGGTCGCTATCAGAAGCGCATCTTCGCCCTGCTCTGTGTGTTGTCACTACCTTTTGCAGGTGTGTTTGCTGGCATTGTCTTCCAGGGTTTCACACCGGATCCAGGGTTTCCCCCCGGCTCACTGGTGTCGGGACTCAGCCGTGGTGGAGAGGAGGCAGGTGTGCGGCTGGAGCCTTGCTGACGGTCGCAGGCTCACGGTGCCTCAGGTCAACAGCTCTGGAGCTCTGCAGCCAAGCAGCTGTGAGCAGTACGAGGTGGACTGGAACAGCACAACTCTCAGCTGTGACACACAGGAACTGGACCTCAGTGGAGCCACAGTCACCACATGCACGGTGAGATCTTGGCTCTTCATTAGAAATTTGTCAGGTTGTTTAGTTCACCAGCTGTTTTGAGTCTTAATGCATGTTGTGTTAAAGACAAGATTTTTAATATACATCCATATACAGTGCTGTGCAAAGGTTTGATGCACTTCAGATGTTTACATTCTTTTCTATCTCACAACACCTTCATTCTGTAGCATGACAGCAAGTCCAAACATAAAGTCATAAAGAACTATCTTACAGTCTCTGTAGTTTGGTGTTATAACCATTTAATAATCCTTTTCCTGTTCATTTACAATCTTTGTACATTTTTCCAGATACATTACAATAGTGTGTTGAATTGAGAGCAACTGAGAATGGAACATGTCGAGCTCACAGCTCAGCCGACCAGCCATAATATTATGACCGCCTGCCCAGTGTTGTGTAGGTTCCCCTTTTGCCGCTAAAACAGCTCTGACCTGTAGCGACACGGACTCTACAAAATCCCTAAAGATGTCCTCTGATGTCTTCCTAATAAGGCATGATTTACCTTCTCACAGTTTTTGTTACATGCAGCGCGAGAAGCTAGTGGAGCAGTGCAGACAGAGCAGAGATCAGTCAACTCATTCTTCATTGACACTAAATTCGGATGGCTGTTTTCAGGTGTACCTCAGATTTCATGAGACGGAAAAACATCACCCCACATCTGCCTCACTGGTGTGTTTTTAATGGTTTTTGGGTTCAGGTTTTGGATTCATACACATTACAGTGAGTACACCAGATTCATTGTTGGTTTTAGTCTCTGGATGGCATTGTGGAAAATAATAAACACGAGGGACTCGCAGTAGAAGGGCTCCTTCTGAATTCTGATGTGTTTTGATGAGAAAGTTTAACAGAGAAAGTCCTGTTACTGTCCGGATTAAACCTGGTGTTTTTGTCTTGAAGGATGGCTGGGAGTATCAGTACGAAGGCAGGAAGTCCTTTGTCACAGAGGTGAGAAGAGAAAGTTGAATGCATTTGTGCTTAAAAATGGGGTCAGTTTCACCCAATCCATTAAAGGTTTCTCCCAGTGCGCCTCAGTTAAATCAATAATCAAACTGTGCAGCGACTTCTCAGTTGTAAATAATAGTAGACTGAGGAGTATTTGACTGTTTCTGGAGATTTCTTATTTATAAATGCAACCTTTGTTCTATTGCTCTCAGTTTGACCTGGTGTGTTCGGACGGGTGGTTGGTGGATCTGTACCAGTCCACTGTCAACGTGGGTTTCCTCTTTGGCAGCTTTACTTTTGGCTACGTTGCTGACAGGTGACGTCTTTCATTCTTTTTATTACCTCGTATTCTTCTCTACTGACCACATTCACACCGTCATCACTAGTAACTTTAACTGTATTTTACAGAAAGCTACACCCGCTCTACAGTAGGTAGCTGACAGTGTTACACCGTCAAGAAGAATCTCCCTTTAGAAAAAGAATGTGATGCATTTGGACAATGAGTATTTTTCACATATCCCCATAGATTCAACACGCGCAGTGACAGTATGCACTCCCACACCCAAAAAAGTATTTGCTGCAAAAGGTTCAGTGTAGAGAGTTGAGAAGTGGAGGGACAGGGAGAGGATGATGTCAGCCAGCAGCCAAATATTGACCCAGGGAGGCATCCTGAGCAGGAACCGTTTCTCAGACAAACTGACAGGGAGAGGTTTGAATGGATTGATACATACTCATTAATTAGCTGCTCAAAATGATACTATGGCCTTACATGGTAGTTATTCCATCAAATGAGAAATATTCTGGCAAGCTCTCAGTTTTTAAGCTTTTATTAGTGTAGTTACAGTTACATCTAAAAAATAATGATACTTCTCTCTTCTTGCTTGATTTTTCTTTCTGTCTGCAGGTTTGGCAGGAGGCTCAGTCTCCTGATATCCAGCTTGCTGAATGCCATATCAGGGATTGTCCTGGCTGTGGCTCCAAACTACGTCTCCATCCTGGTGGTCAGGACCATCCACGGCTTTGGAGTCAAGGGAGGCTGGATGGTTGCTTATGTGCTGCGTAAGCCTCGGTGAAGTTATTTTTAATCATTGGCTCAGCAGTCGCATACAGGTTTCTAATTTCCAAACGTATGTGGACAATACAAGGAAACCCAGGTGAAAAATGTTTTTCATATATGGCCAAACACTTGGTACCCCAGTACGGGGTCCAGCTCAGTCCTCACAATGGAGTGGTAAGATTAGCCTGCCTGTGGTTAACCAGCATTTTTAATCACAAATTCATGTGTCCTCTGTCTTCCTCACCACTGGCACCATGATGGCCTGGCACAGAGTACTGATTGTTCACCACAGCTTCCTTCTTAATTCAACCATTGCCAATTTACTGGAAATTATCAAAGGTCCAGTGTGATTTTTGCTCCTAGGGATGTGTTAATTTCAGAGTGTAGAACCAACCTGTTAGAGCTTTCATCCATGGACCCGGTTTATCACACACAAGCTGAAGTTTTATATCCTTTAAACAATCTCTTGTTCAAATGATAATAAAACAATGATGCTTTACTTTAACTGAAGTAAATAGATATATACTGTGTGTATGTATGTGTGTATATATATATACTGTATATCAAAAATCAATACAAATAATAGCATATCTATTCTTGTCCTCTCCTGATTTTGATAAGAGAAGTTGATCTTGACTAAACATCTCAAAAATGATGATCAGGAATATTACTGGATTTTATGTGGTTTGAAGCAGATCTGGGAGTTAATGGAACGTTTCTTCCCAGGCAGAGCCACAGCACCCCTGCACAAAGGCTCTCTGTCCAGGGCTTCATGCCCCTGGGGCGTTAACCTCTTCAACCAGAACAAGCGCACTGTTTAACTTATGATTCAGAGTGACAACTGAAATACAACCTCCCCTTGGCTTCCCAGTGTTTGGGTCTTTTTGTTCTCTTTCACCTCACACTACAGTGTAGTTTCTGCCCGTAGGTTAGACTCTGGGCGTTATGGCCTTGTGCTTCAACGTGGACAGCACATGATATCCTAAGTCACCTGCCTCTCCAGTAAACTCTGTCTCACTGCAGATGCTGACGTCCCCTTTTTACACACACAACACATTTGACACATATTAGTCGAACAGTACTTTGTGGTTTTAAATCCACTTGTGTAACTTCATGTTTTCATCAAATCATCACTTACAATTTCCCAAACATTGTAATTATTCTCATTATAACTGTTACAATAATGCACTGGACAGTAAATCACATAAAGATCACACTTTATAATATGTAAATATTTCAGTAGTTAAAAATTACTTCAAAGATTTCTGCCAGCGCCTCACCTTACTCTTGCCGGTCTTGGTTTCAGCCTCTGGTTGTCTCTCTATCCCAGTGTTACGGTGACATCTTGTCTGTTTGGTGTGATGTCTGTCTGTCGCTGCCGTCTACATTTCTACTCTCTCTGACACACTGCATACACTATGTTAACACCCATGACAAATGCTAAAGGTTGTATTTTTCTTTGTCTCTGTGCAGGGGTCTGTGACTGCATTCCTTCAGTTTAACCTGTTTTCTGTGTTGCACTCTCAGTCTCAGAGATTGTCGGAGTGGAGCACAGACGAACGATTGGAGTCTTGTTCCAGATGATGTTCAGTGGCGGTGTCCTCATCCTCCCTCTTTTAGCCTATTTCATCAGTGACTGGCGCTGGCTGCAGGTCGCCATCACTGCACCCTACTTCCTCTTCCTGTCCTACTACTGGTGAGAAGCATTATATTTTCTTTTATTTTATGGAACTTGTGGTTCACTTGTCAGAGAAACCTAAAATGTTTCCAAGTTTTGTTTTTCCATTAGGTCCTTTTGTGAAAAACAGTTCAAAAATTTAACATTGCTACATATAGGGTTCTCTGTTATGATTGGTGACATTTTTTCCTAATGTACTACTCTGTCCTGTGAGGTGCCGCAGGGTTCTGATCTTGGCCCTGTTCTCTCTGTATAAATAGAACCCTGGAGTCTGTTATCACCAAGCACAATTTGTACTTTCACTGCTATGCAGATGATTTGTGAATCTACGTATCTGCCTATGAGGCCTGAAAGAGGGTAACTCACTGCAGTCGTCGTTTGACTGTCTGAAAAGCCTTAACATTAGGCTGTTACAAAATTTTATTTATCTGAATGAAAGTAAGCCTGAGTGTATTTTATTCAGCACCTCGAGTGTTCCTAGTGGTCCTGATCTAAATCTTGGTGCTCTAGCCTTCTATCTTATAACGATCTTGAAAAAGCAGTCCATGCTTTTATTAGTACAAGGTTAGACAATAGAAATGCTCTTTATGTTGGTATCAGTTTTCCCTCTCTTGCCTCCATCTGGGGCAAAATACTGCTGCTCGTTTTTAACTAACTCAGCCAAACACATATAACCCTCATTCTTTTTCTCTCTATTGGTTTCATGGGTGGAGCCAGAATCTGATTGGCCACCCCCAGTGCCATCCCTGCCAGTCAAAATGTGATGCTTGTCAGTATTAATGAATTAAAAATTGCAGAGTACATAAGGAGTGCAGCCAAAGTTGGCTAAAGAAAGCACAGTATGTGTCTCATTTTTACACACTATAAACAGTTTGATTCTTAATCATGTATGGTTTATTATTTCATAGAACTATGGGTTTCATTTACTTTTACATGCTTTTCAAATGTGCCACTCCTCTCTGAGTCTGTGCCCCAACCTGCACATCCTGTCCATATTTTCTATATTTATAAATACTTTTCAGTATTTCTAGATCTGCCCCTGACTGGCTTCCAGTATATTTTAGAATTGATTTTAAACTTTTGGTTTACTTTTAAAGCCATGCCCCTCCTTATTTAACAGAACCGTTACCCCCCCAAAAGCAAGCAGTTCTCATGTCATCCAGCCAGCTCCTCCTAGATGTCCTGAGGATCAGTGGCCATGTTTTTACTGTGGCTGTTCCTAAACGGTGGAGCGGTTTACCACGTGGTATTCATTCTATTATGGACCTGATACTGTTTAGATCCAAGTTAGAGTCCTGACATTTTCAGTTTCTTTTCTTCTTTAATGTGTTTTACTTCTTATCTTTTTTTATTATGTATTCTATATTTTTTGTTTTTGTTATTCTGTTTAAAGGTCTTTGACATTTATTTAGGTGCTATAAATAAATATTGATTGACCCCCAAAATATGCTGTCATTCAATATTATCCAGAATTTTGCAGAACCATATCATCCTATATCGGTGTTCTTGTCTGCTCTTTGCCCTTTGTTTGGACATGATAAGCTAGAAATGTTTCCTCCATTCCTGGGAAATATGTACTTGCATATATACTTGATTTCAAAAATATCCAAGATCTTTTGGCTGCTATTGTCATTTGATCCAGATCCATATAAAGCTTTTTGGGTCAGACTCATGTCGGTAAATCATTGCCAGCCATCTTTCAGTTTGCTATCCTTAATGTCTAAACAGAGTAGTAAAAGATGATCAAGCTCAGCAGAAGTTTGATGAACTGTTGTTGAGATTTTTGTGCCTGTTAAAACAACAAAATGTTGAGGTGGTTTTGTGTCACAGCTTTATCCCAGAGTCTCCAAGGTGGCTCCTCTCTCAGAGCAAGTCATCCAAAGCGCTGGAGATCGCTGAAGCTATGGCCAAAGAGAACAAAATGAAGCTCCTCAAGAACGTCGAGGTAGATTCAACACTTGCCATCTGAATTCTGCTGAAAGAAAATAAATATTGAGAACATCTGCTTCTTTGTCATTTTGTATCATGTCATGATCTTCTGTGTCAAAGAACTTGTACTAAGCTATGGTCACAGTGCACACTTGGATCATGATCACTTCTTTCAGACGCTGACTGATGATGATGGTGACTCCCCCATGGCCTCCTACATGGACCTGGTCAGAACTCCAAAGATGAGAAAACACACTTTGATCCTCATGTTCAACTGGTGAGACTTGATAAAACCCCTAGATTTATAGGACTTCTAAATGCAGGTGATACATTTAGGGGATACAATCTTATTGTTTCTGCTCTGTAGGTTCACCAGTGCTGTGGTTTATCAGGGCCTCGTCATGCGGTTGGGCATAGCAGGAGGAAATGTCTATGTTGACTTCCTCCTCTCTGCCCTGGTCGAGTTTCCTGCTGCCCTCCTCATCCTCTTCAGCATCGAACGCATCGGTAGACGCCTTCCCTTCGCCTCTGCCAATATCGCAGCTGGAGCCTCCTGCTTCATCGCTGCCTTCATTCCTGACAGTGAGTATGATTTTAAAAAAGCCATTCAGATGTCTTCCTCCCAAACGACACACTGAGCCTTTTGTTTAGAAAATGGACATTCTCCTACACATTTGTCTTTACTCAGTGTTTGGTCAAAATACTACATACTACAAATGTTACATAGCATCACATTTGAGAGTTTCTTGAGTATAAGTATTAAAAGATATGTAGTTTTCAAGAGTATAACTTATCAGTATGTGTGTCCCTTGTAGCTGGTCTTTTAAGAGGAAGCTCGCGACATCAGCAGCACAATCTGGTGTATGGGTAGGCAGGTTCTGAAATGTGATGGGATAGTGGTTGTATGATGAAATTAAAATTATTTAGGGAATAGTGAAGAATGTACACACAGTTTGTTCTTTTAGTATGTGCAGTTTCTTTGCTTAAATGTTGAACAATGAATTGAAGCATTGTATTTATGTACTATTTAAGGAAATGTATGTTTGTGGCTAATCCTGTCAGATCTTTCTAGAAGACTGAGTTGAGAGGCCAGCTTGAATTGGGAAGGCGGGATCCAAGGGGATGCAGCAGAGAGAGGAAGAGACTGGTTTGAGGAGGATCCTTGTTGTGGAAATGTTTGACAAAGCTTTTTAGTTAGTGTGAGGTTTTTGGCCTCTACATGACTCATGTCATATTGTACCTCACCTTGCAGCAGTGTCACTGGAGTATAACATCCTAGTTAGGTTAGGTTTAGTTTCAGTTTTATAGTAACATATTTGTTTGGTTTTGTGCAGGTATGTTCTGGTTTAAGACGGTGGTGGCCTGCATCGGTCGGCTGGGCATCACCATGACCTTTGAGATGGTGGTGTTCGTTAACACCGAGCTCTACCCAACGTTTGTCAGGTGAGGTCGTTTCTCCTTTGCACCTGTATTACCAACATCTTGTCCAGCACTTCAGGATACCACTCTAACGAATGAGCCCCTGTAGGCCTCAGGTTTAGGCCTGCTTACAGATAACTTCACACAGTAGGAATTCTAGCACATATGAGGCATGTCTTCATTTATCAACAGTTCTTCACGTTTACAAATCTACAAGCAGACAACCTGCTGCTTCATTAGGGTCACTCATTACATGATCAGCAGCAGGTGTGTGCTTTTAAAGGTAGAGTGCAGTCAATTTATCATGTTTCACAGCTATTTATTGTGAAAACACTGTAGATGATAAAAGTTGAAAAACTGTTAATATGCTTGATGTTGCATGATAAGATATAAGTTAAGATGAACTTTTTAACTGGATACAGGAACCTGGGTGTGGCAGTTTGTTCCACTCTTTGTGATATTGGAGGCATCGCGGCTCCGTTCCTGCTCTACAGACTGGCTGTCATCTGGCAGGAGCTGCCGCTCATTATTTTTGGTGAGTTTCTTACCTGTTATCAAAATTAACCTGTGAATGTTTGATCGTTATTGGCACTGTAACATTAGTTTTCATGACAGGATCTTCATACTGTAGCTAAGACATCGCGTCTCCGTTCCTGCTCTACAGACTGGCTGTCATCTGGCAGGAGCTGCCGCTCATTATTTTTGGTGAGTTTCTTACCTGTTATCAAAATTAACCTGTGAATGTTTGATCGTTATTGGCACTGTAACATTAGTTTTCATGACAGGATCTTCATACTGTAGCTAAGATACAGTACCTTACAAATACCACACAACTACTTTATATCTACCATACAACTACAGTAGCTGTATGTATATCTGTAGTACCTGTAGAAACAATTTTTTTTTCTTAAAATGAAATAAATATTCTAAAAAGCCCATGTCAGTTTTGGGTAATTTTTTATTTCACAGGTCTACTATGTCCTAGTTTCCTGGAAAGAATGATGTAGTTTTACACTAATTAGAAAGATAAAGTTATGAGAATCTTTTAGTTTTATTATTGGTTTCAAATTAAATTCTCTGAAACAATATAAAACCTAATAAATATTTGCTATTCATTTATCATTTTAAATGTTTATTCCTAGACAAATTTCACACTTGGTGTAGCTCACCTTCTATCCTCTGAATAAAAGCCTCAAGTGTATGTGTTAGCATTTAACAATAACTGGGAGGGTACCAACTGATCAAACTTTAATTAGTACCTAATTATATGGCCCCCTTCCCTTCTTGGGTTAATTGGAAATAAACTGGGGTTTACAGACCTCTGACAAAGCGTTACCCAATTTTGCTTAAAGTGACAATCAGTTAAAATATTTGATTAACCAACTGCTTGGTTCATCTCCAGTCATTTGGCTAATGCTTGATTCAGGAAATACTGATTTGCAGAAATTGGGTGAGATGTCACCAGTCCCTCTAACCTATTGAAGTGTTCGAATATAGCAGCATTATTCATTTTAAATCAACCGCTAAGAGTTTTTCTGTGTAAGCAGGGTCAGTTAAAGTATTTTACATAACTATTTCTCTGCTATACAACTGCTGTCCATGTTGTATTGTGGCGCAGGTGCTATAGCGTTTACAGCTGGAGGTTTGGTGCTGTTGCTGCCTGAGACCAGAGGAGTTCCACTTCCTGAGACCATCGATGACATCGAGTTCCCTGATCGGTGAGACGTTCCACAATTCTGTTACTATAATTATAAGTATACAGTATGGGTGAAAAGTAACTAGGCATTAAAAATTAGTTACAGTGGCAAGACAAAGTATGTGAACCTTTTGGAATTTCATGGTATTCTGCATTAATCTGTCATAAAATGTGATCTGATCATCTAAGTCAAGAGTACTGACGAATATAATGTGCCTAATATAAACAAAAAAAAATCTGATTTTTCATGTCTTTATTGAAGACACTTATTCAACATTTGATTTTGATTTGATTTATTCTTTCAAGCATGTAAAAACAGTTGATATGTCAACACACATAATTTTATACATATCCAACAAATGCTAATCCAATATCAATTTGCTTATACCTAGTACATGCTTGAATGGAGTAGGAAGAAGTCAGACTTATCCAGTCCTACCCCATGACATCATCTTACCATCATTGGTTTGCAAGCAGTATCTCTACATAGATAATTATCTTCTACACCACACAGTAATATACTAAAGAATTATTACAGAGTGTTAACATTCATACACCACACCCACAATGTTCCATCTAATTAATCATTAAGCCTGTTCTTGCATATATCTTGATTGACACATACCTTTATATTTATGTTTAAACTCGTCAATTCTATTACTATTTTTTATGTCTACACTTAAATTATTCCATAGTTTTACCCCACTTATGGAAATACAAAATCTTTTTTTGGTTGTACGATTGTAGACTGATTAATTTTTAAAGTCTTTGAAATCACTTTATAACCCTTTCCAGCTTTATGTAAATCAACAATTCTTGATCGTAGATTCTCTGAAAGATTTTTTTTGGCAAGACATGGCTCACAAAAGCATATTCTTCTTGTGTGGAGCAAACTCAAAAGGTTTGAGTGGTTTTTATCAAACTAGCTCTAGTCCACACCGCCAAACTCAGTTTTTTAACAAGACTCCAGGTATGCTGACACCTGACTCCAATTAGCTTTTCTGAGGTCATTAACTCAAGGGTTCATTTACTTTTTCTACTGGCACTATGAGGTTTTTATGGTTCTCAATAAAGACATGAAAGATCAGAATTTTTTGTTATTATTTTAGGCACATTATATTCGTCAGTACTCTTGACTTAGATGATCAGATCACATTTTATGACAAATTAATGCAGAAAACCATGAAATTCCAAAAGGTTCACATACTTTTTCTTGCCACTGTATAGAACTTGTATCACTGGAGTCATGATGAAATCCTATTTACTATTTATTTAGATATAAGTTCTACGGCCAATTTTTAATGCCTAGTTACTTTTCATCCACACTGTATATCTGTTTGCTCTAATTTCTCTTTATCGGGGTTGAATCACAAAGGATAGGTAACTGCCCTGATAGAGAAATTAGAGTGAAATGATTTTGCTATTTGAATTGAATTGAAAGGAGTTGTTTTAACAGCTCTCTATAGCACTGTCTGCACACTGAATTGCTCTTTTTTTTTTCCTTGCAGGAAAGTGACGACTGAACAGCTGAAGAGACCTTTAAAACTCAGACTTGACAAGAAGGAAGCAACAACAACTGTGTGATATTCTGCATGTACAAAACATGGAAGTTGGGGTTTTCATATGTTTTATTTTTCAGCTCTTGCAGAAAACCAAACACCTTCAAACTGAGCAGTCATTTGCTAAAGGTGGATAATTTTCAATTGGCTTTGATGGTTCTCTCAATCCAGTCAACAAATTTGGAGACTCGAGCGTAGACACCAGGCTTCATGGCACTGGCGCATCCCAAGCCCCAGGAAGTGACACCCTGTATGGTGAACCTGTTCTGGGCATTACACACCAGAGGGCCACCGCTGTCACCCTACAGGCAGAAAAAACAAATTTGTTCCAAGTTGAAGTGCTCCCAAAACCAGAACTGCATCAGTGCTATTGCCCCAGTGTCTGTCTGGATTCGGCCACACTTTGTTTGGCAGGTCTGTAATTTGGTCCTAATTACAGAGACAAATGGGTTCACTTTGGATACTTGAAATGAATCAACTTCAGTTTACTACCAGTGTAACACAGTCTTACATCAGTGATTTCTAAATGTTAAATTTATCTACAGACTAACATACAGTTCTACATTTAAGTTTGCATATATGAGGGAAAGGTTTATGTGGCCATAAAAGCTGAAGGCTTTGCTACTTAATACAATGTCAAAATGAAGAGATTTCAGACCTGTAAAAAGAAAGTGTTACCATTATCAAAATTAAATTTTAGAAGTTGTTCAAAGGCCTACTACTGTTCTTCCTTCCTTCATTCCTGTGTTGATGGTTAATTTCCTGTGTCGGAGGGCGCACAAGCCACATTTCAAACACAACTCAGTTTGGATCCCACCACCCGAGAGTGCACAGTGTAGTGGCAATTTTATAGTAGCACCCTTTTAAAGTTTATTAGCTGATGCGTCGTAGTCATGGTATGCAGGCATTAGTGTAATTGTGTATTGTAATAACTCTGAGTTGATGTTAAGTTTTTATTTTTCACTCACTGAGCTTTAATAGATAATTTTGCTACAACAACAGACACAGATTTGTAAGTGCAGACTGGAGAGCATGATCCCCAGCCCCGGATTTGTGTTAAAGTCAGTCGGCGCCAAAAATTTGGGAGAGCACAAAACAACTTGTTTTGCACTTACAAATCTGTGTCTGTGCACTCTCAGATTGGTGGGATGCAAAATGAGTGGTGGCTTGTGCGCCCTCTGACCCAGGAAATTAACCATCAACACAGGAACGAAGAACAGTAGTAAGCCCTTGAAAAACTTCTAAAATTTACTTTTCATAATGGTAATGTAGATAAATTTAACATTTAGAAATCACTGACTTAAGATTTTCATACACTGGCAATAAACTGATGTTGATTCATTTCTAGTATCCAAAGTTGAACTCGTTTTTATGTAATTAGGACCAAATTACAGACCTGCCAAATAAAGTGTGGCCAAATCCAGACAGACACTGGGGCAATAGCACTGCCCAACACCAAAGTTGTTTTCTGGCTTTTGTCCCTACCTGGCAGCTGTCGGTTCCTCCTTCGATGGTTCCAGCACACATCTCGTGCTCTTTGACTCGGCCGTTCAGGTAGGACGGACGGTTGCAGATCTTGTTCTCGATCACAGGGAAACCGGCTTCCTTCAGAACGCCCTCACCTCCTGTACCTGCAACACACCCCAATATCTGTTTATCATCATTCATCAACAAATATCACCACCTACTAAGACACAAACATATTTCATTTAAAGCACCACCAGGTCACTGTTAGTTCTGAAACCTGCAGTTGAATAAAGTCATTTTATCTTAAATGTGGGGACATGCCTGATCGTTTGCATTCAGCGACCACTCCTGATTTATTGTACTCACTGTCCAGATCAACAACAAAGTGACTGTAGTAAGATCTGATAAAGCTTTTCCAGACTTTAATCAATAAAATTCAACCACTAAAGTTGCTCCAAAAAAAGGACAAGGCATGGCAACAATTTTCTCAAGCTTTTGGTTTTACTTTAAACCATCTTCAGGAGCAGGCAGGAGAATGCCAAAGCAACAGCAGCTAAATAACCACCTGGTGAGATGGTACCCATCCACCACACTAGCTGTTGTGGATGGGTCTGTGCTGTTGTCACCTGTATTTATTAGCTGCTGTTGCTGTAAAACCAAAAGCTTGAGAAAATTGTCACTATGACTTTGTTCTCTTTGGAGTAACTGTACTCTTATGTGTTGAACATTAGTGGATCTCTTGGTGAGGATAAGTCAAAATGTACATTTGTCCTCACAAAGATAACGTAGCAGAACAGTAATGAAATACATATACGGTACGTGACACTGTACCTTGAGTCTCGCCCCATCCGGTGACATAACACTCTGTTCCACTGGGGACGATGTAGTCCTTCTCTGGCAGACAAGCTGGCAGGACTTTGTCATTTATTTGTGCAGGGCTGAAAAAACATGAGAACCTCAGTTTCAGTAGTAAGTAGTTAATAATTTTAATACCAACTAGAGAAATGCATTTTGTGAATAAAATGCGTGCTGAAGGATCACACTGAAAACGCTGAACATTTTGACACCTCAGTGGCTTTTCTAGCTGAAAGTATGCAGAAGTAGAATTTTCCCATTCATTTGAAAACTGGGGCAAAACTTTCAAAATAAAACTAAATATTTTAAAGGTATGAAGTTTCTAAAAATTTTAATACCAATTAATATTCAAACATAACCACTTATGTAGTCTGCTAATGTTAAACTCCCTGACCTTAATGTATCACAAAATTTGGTTTCACACCGACACCAGTGCTAGCCAGGCCAGATTTAAAATCTGATTATGTACTATCATGTAAAGGAGACAAATGTCATGACTTACACTATGGAGTGAGTAAATAAATTTGCATCAAATACTCTGCTAAACATGAGACATTCCTTTTTCTTATTCCCTGTTAATTATGTTTAAACAACAGATTTTAGTGATGATAAAGAAATATTGAAAACTGAAGAGGTGTTCACTGTGAGCATGCACAAAACAGCAGTATTGAGAATACTGACAGGAACTAGCAAGAGAGATCATATCTCTCCCATATTAGCTTCTCTCCACTGGCTCCCTGTAAAATTCAGAATAGAATTTAAAATCCTTCTCCTAACATACAAAGCCCTTAATGACAAGGCTCCATCGTATCTTAAAGACCTCGTAGAGCCTTATCATCCTAACAGAGCACTTCACTCTCAGAGTGCAGGTTTACTGGGGGTTCCTAGAGTCCACAGAAGCAGAATGGGAGGCAGAGCCTTTAGCTATCAAGCTCCTCTCCTATGGAACCAACTCCCAGTCTCAGTTCGGGAGGCGGACACCCTCTCTACCTTTAAGATTAGACTTAAGACTTTCCTTTTGGATAAAGCTTATAGTTAGGGCTGGATCAGGTGACCCTGAGCCTTCCCTTAGTTATGCTGCTATAGGCCTAAGCTGCTGGGGGGC